TCGTGCTTCGGCAGTGCGATTCCAGGTGATTGTGGGTGTTTGTTTACTCAATAAAACTGCATATTCTACCGGGATACCGACTCCATAGACTTTGAAGGACTTGGTATTCAACGATGTCATCAACATCATCGGTTCGTATTGACGATCTTGGAGATGAAGAAGTTAGAAGACTTGCTGAGAGACTTTCACGTATGAATATTAGTATGACTGGGAATGATACTAGTTCCAGTTTGGAACCACGTCATACTGTGTCCTGTATCTCCTTCCTTAGGAGTTTCTTGGGATCATCACGGCGACATACTCCTCGACCTCCTAATGCCGCTCAGAGTGATTTTGGTGTTGACTATGTGCTGGATAGGGATCATCCTCGTCAAGCAGTAGGGTCTGTTGCTAATCAACATCTGGCTCATGAGGGATCTCTTCTACATGACCAGGTTACGGTTGTCGATGATATTCACGAGAATGAAAGTAACCACCAACCTTTTCCACCTCATACCCCCCTTCCAGGTATATCAGGTGAGAAAGGGTTGGGGAATCTTCCGGAAGTGGATTCTTCGTTAAATAATTGGTCTGAGAAGGAACTGCAGAAGATGTATGATGATGCTATAAAGCGTTCTGATAAAGCACCACTCCCACCTGGAGGAGTGTATTGTGGTCGGAAAGACCAGAGATCTGTGCTTACCTTCATTCAGGAAATGTTGGTCCTCACATACGGCTCGGTCTCTCATGCGTTTCAATACTACATGGACGACCTTCTCTATACTTCATGGAAGTGGTCGGAACTTTTTGTACGTCGACAGCATGGACGTGAAATGCTGAAAAAGAGGGCTAGCATGCACTGTCAGCCCAGTAAGTCTGTTCTGGGGAGGGATATAGAGTATGCTATGGAGAATGCCGCTGATGCACCTTCAGAGTGTTGGGATGAGGGCGAGGAAGTGTCGAGGACTGCTGAAGTATCCACGTCTAAGCTTATGGAGGCAAAGCTCTGCACTCAGCTTGGTTATGTATGGGAGAGGTCTGACGATGTTCTATCAACTCGGCCAGTAGCTCTAAACAATGAGGATCTCAGTACGCGTCGTCATTGTTTCCATGCCCTTGGTCAGATGTATGACCCTTTAGGAATCAATATTGAAGAAGGAGTTCGTCAAAGACTGCTTCTGAGTAAGGTGGCACGTGTGACTGCTTCATGGGACACCAAAGATGTGCCCTACGATGTGACTCAGGATATTTATGCCCTATTCCGTTCCTCCCCAATACCACAGCCACGTTTTGTCGATCTGAGGCAAGGATTTGCTGTATTTTGCGATGCTGCTGGTAATGGATGTATCTGTGCTGATGTTCGTGGTATTAAAGATGGTCGTCGACTTGTTGCACGTCAGGCTACTCTTAATCCGAAATGGACTATCCCTCGGCTCGAATTGTGCTCGATTTTACTTGGATATAGTCTTATGGAAGAGGTTCTGGGCCAAAGAGAGGCTGTTACAAGTGAGGGATTTTCCATTGGTCCTATATGGTTATTGACTGATTCACAGCTCAATGCTTGGCGTATTAAGCGACCCAGCAGAGCTGATGCACGGTATTTGCCTCTGCTTGAGCGAAATCGGATGACGAAGCTGCGTTCTGGGCTCATTGCTTTGGCGAGAGATATTGGACACCCTATAAGGGTAGCTCACATTCGGGGGCGGGTGAATCCTGCGGATGCTGGTACTCGTCCAGAGTCTGGTTGTCAGATGGCCCTTATGGACGGCTTCAAGATACAAGCGGTGCTAGATGAAGCTACTGTGATTACCACTTTCTCGCCAACACCATCCTTCAGTGATGAAGATCTTATTGACGAGTTTGATGAGCAAAAGGATGGTAATGAAGAAGATTTGATAGTACACTTGGTTGGAGCAGTCTCATCTTTGGAGAAGAAGATTCCTGATGCTGTGAGTAGTGCTGATTTGTTATTTGAAATTGGTGTTGCCCAGGAAGCATGTACCGATTTGGCGTTGTTGAAGAAAAGGCTAGCTTCGCAAGTTGTAGATGGCTATATGTTGAAGAATGGTGTGTTATATCGAGTGGGAAGTGTCTCTCTGGACGACTCTAATCGAGGATCGTGTCCGATTGTTCAGGCAGTTGTACCGGAGAACCGTCGTGATTTACAATGGCGAATTACTCAACATGCTCATGATACTCATGGGGGCCATCCGGGTAGGATTGCGCTGACGCGATGGGTCTGGCATCGCTACTATTGGAAGAAAGTCGATGCTACTGTTCGCCGTTTCAATGCTAAGTGTGCTGGCTGTCAGGCCAGACGACAGGCTGCTGCGAAGATGAAGCAGATATCCTCACGACCCCCAGCTTGCTCTGCTCAGTTCGGTCCTTTTGCTGTTGCTTATTATGATGTAACTGGGCCCTATCAGGTCTCTCGAAGCTCAACCGACTCCTCTCAACAGAAGCTGTACTGCTTTACTCTATGCTGCCACGCCAGCAGGTTTATCAAGGCTATGGTGAGTCATGATAAAACAGGCTATTCCGGAGCGAGACTGTTGAGGCAGATGGTTACTGAAGAAGGTCCGATTCGGCTACTTGTTGTTGATCAAGGACTCTTAGTGCCGGAAGTTCTATCACTGGGTAAGGAGTTGGGTTTCCTTGTTGTTTCGACTGCCCCGCGTGGAGAAGAACTACGAGCATGGGGTGAGCGTCCACATCGTGATGTGCATTCAGTGTTGAGGGGAGCCCTGTGGGATATTTCTAATAAGACCAAGTCGCTGCCTTCGGAGGAGGAGTTCGTTCAACTACTATATCGGGCTATTTGGATATGTAACAATAGCCCATACATCAGTGAAAGCCCACTCACTCCTGCACTCATTTGCCGGTCGCATGGTCGCAAAATTGATGACTCTTTAGCGATGAGTGAAGCCGAATCTATTAAGAAGGCGGTGTTCGATGGATTGGAACCACCCTCGTGGTGGGATGAAGTCACTGCCAATGACTACTTTGATAAGGTGACCGAAGGTAGACTTGTGGCTTTGCGAGAGCTTGCTGACATTTGGTGGCTTCGTAGACGAGAGACTCGTGAGAGGCTTCTATCGCGGACGAAGAGGCATGCGGGTAGGGGTCTCATCAAGGGTTCTCATGCCTTCCGTTGGAGGCCAACTCTAGGTCCTTACGGTAAACTCAACACCGGTTGGGAGGAAGTTGAGATTGTTGATAGGCCAAGCGACAGCATCCGGAAGGTGAGGCTGATGTCTAATGGTAAGATTGTGAACGAAAGTGTTCTCAATTTGAGGTCTGCGCCGGCCGGGAGTGTGCCGGTTTCGGCATGAAGTGAAGGATTGCAAGGGCAGCAAGATGATGATATCTGAATATATTTGATTGTGTTATTGTCGTCTTGCGTCTTGTTTCCGCTGTCCCTTTAGCGCTAGTTGTATGACGTATTAGTCATAACTATAAAGTAGTTGCGATCTACTACATTCGCTTATTATCGTGCTTCGGCAGTGCGATTCCAGGTGATTGTGGGTGTTTTGTTTACTCAATAAAACCTGCATAAGGCTTATCTTGGGATGGCATAGGCGCCCCGGCCGATGTAATTGATTGCACTGAGGCTTATCTTGGGATGGCATAGGCGCCCCGGCCGATGTAATTGATTGCACTGAGGCTTATCTTGGGATGGCATAGGCGCCCCGGCCGATGTAATTGATTGCACTGAGGCTTATCTTGGGATGGCATAGGCGCCCCGGCCGATGTAATTGATTGCACTGAGGCTTATCTTGGGATGGCATAGGCGCCCCGGCCGATGTAATTGATTGCACTGAGGCTTATCTTGGGATGGCATAGGCGCCCCGGCCGATGTAATTGATTGCACTGAGGCTTATCTTGGGATGGCATAGGCGCCCCGGCCGATGTAATTGATTGCACTGAGGCTTATCTTGGGATGGCATAGGCGCCCCGGCCGATGTAATTGATTGCACTGAGGCTTATCTTGGGATGGCATAGGCGCCCCGGCCGATGTAATTGATTGCACTGAGGCTTATCTTGGGATGGCATAGGCGCCCCGGCCGATGTAATTGATTGCACTGAGGCTTATCTTGGGATGGCATAGGCGCCCCGGCCGATGTAATTGATTGCACTGAGGCTTATCTTGGGATGGCATAGGCGCCCCGGCCGATGTAATTGATTGCACTGAGGCTTATCTTGGGATGGCATAGGCGCCCCGGCCGATGTAATTGATTGCACTGAGGCTTATCTTGGGATGGCATAGGCGCCCCGGCCGATGTAATTGATTGCACTGAGGCTTATCTTGGGATGGCATAGGCGCCCCGGCCGATGTAATTGATTGCACTGAGGCTTATCTTGGGATGGCATA